GGAGAACCGGGTTGGGGTGCAGGAGTGTTATCAGTCAGGCTCATCAATACACCCAAGAACACAGCTATAATTAAGAGTAAATAGGTACATGTACCCTTTGAATGTAAACTAAGTGGTCACCAAGGGGTACATGTAGCACGATCCACATGTCTATACATAATTGTGCGAAATTTGGATGAGCTATTTCTGAGCTGCAAAATATTATGAATTTTGTGAGCAATTTCTTGCTGGGACTGCTCCATACCAACCATGCAAATTTCACTGGAAAAACAAAATTAATATTTTTTATTTAAAAATCATTTAATGGTTTATATATTTTTTTATATCTATATTATTTGGTTTTTTCTCCAATAATTGAATTTATAAGTTCTCTAAAATTGTCTTAGCAAAAGGGTGCCAAAGGGGACATGTATTAGACAATAATCCATTGACACATAGCTTTCTTGTCTTCTAACACTGATCAGCCTCAAATTTTGTTGGCATTTACATATTCTTTGGCAAATATTCAATTTTTGTCCATTTACTTGCCTAAAGTCTTTTTTTGGTACATTAACTTTTTTGTCAATAATAGTATGTTACGTTGCAATTGGTATCACTATTGGGACGTTATTGCGAAAATGGTTCATTATCTTTTGGGATTAATGTCCTAAAAATGATACAAATTGCAACAATAACGTACTGTTTTTTATGAGTAATGTCCCAAAAATGATACAAATTGCAACATAACGTACTATTATTGATGAAGAAAAAGTTAGTGTACCAAAAAATGACTTTAAACAAGTAAACGGACTAAAATTAAAATTATTCCTATATTATTTCTAATTGGTTTTATTCAACTCTCCACCCAAAATTACATGATTTGGATATATCACAATAATATAGATATCATGTTGGGTGTAGATATAGTGTGTGTGTGGATATATTTTTATGTAAACAAGAAAGCATGAGTTCTATTGCTTGGACACTTTGATAATGAAAACAAAATATTACCAATTTGAGTACAATACATATATTTTACAATAAGAAATAGTGTGATACATCATACATAGCATGCCTTTTATTGTACTTTGGAAAAAATAACTAATAAAAAAAAGGAGAAAACAAATTGATGAGGAACCATATGTTTTTTTCTTTATTTAGTTTCTATTTCTTTTTTTTTTTTT